GCTCCCCTCCTCCGCCCCCTACAGGGCGGCGGGAGCAGTAAACCAAAAAGAAAAAACCTGCAGGGGCGGCCAAAGCGGTGAAGCGCAAAACAAAACAAAACCAAAAAAAAAAGGATTAGATGGAATGCCGCCCTTTGAAATCTGCTGCCCCAAGCACGAGCGTGCTCGGCTGGTGCCTGGAGCCAGCCCTGCCTGCAGTCCAGCATCGGGTGGGTTTAACATACCCCAGTGTTCTATGTATTCTCTAATCTGTTGCTTATTGTTTTGAAGTTTAAAGATCATACTTTATTGAGTTATGATTTTTAAAACTTTCCATATGACATCTTTAACACTAATACAGATAGGTTTGCTTTAGTTCAGTCTCTTCCACCAAATAACTTTGGCCTTGCAATGCTTACAAAAGCAGGGGGAAATTTCAATAAACATCCCCTTTGCAAGAAGCTGTAATTATGGCTAATCCAAAAAAGAGAGCAGCCAAGAGAATGGTAATCCCGCTAGGAAAACACAGTTCAGCTTTGTTAGAGCACTGCTGAAATGTAGCATGGAAATGGTGAGTTTCATTTTTAATTTGTTTGTTTCTCTTTCGCAGCCTGTGATTCCAACCAGTCCAACAAGCAGCTCCACAACACCAACCAGCACAATGGGCATGTCCACAAAAATTGACAGCTCTGCTCTTCAGGACATTTTCATCCTCTCTCCCATGTCAGGACTTTATGGCCCAAGGTAAATCTCCCAATGAATCTGAGCATATTTAGGCAATATTTTACAGGTCAATTGCTTCAGACTTGAAAACAGAAACAATTTATTCTTCCCTTCCACTTTATGTATAATCAAATATTTCAAGATGTTGTACAAGGCATTTAATTAAAATAAAAAGCTGTAACAGAGTGGCTATGTGTAGAAAATGTCATAACTATCATCCTCTCTGCAGCCATGAAAGTCTAGCACTATTCTGGATTGCCAGTTAATGTGCAGTGGAATTAAAAGGAAGGAATATGTTAGCCAAGATACCAAAATTCTGAGTGACTTTTGTTTTTAATAATGTCATAGCACCTTTTGTTTCCACTTAAACTGCTGACTGGGAGATGACACTAAAACCTGTTTTAGACCATGATTCAGCAAAGCACTTGAGCAGGTGCATAACTTTAATCATGTGAGAAGTCTCATTGACTTTGGCGAGACTACTTCTATCTTATTCAGAGGCTTGCACTTCTAGTAGTGATGTAGTAGTCCCTCTACCCTGTCTGCCACCTTTAAGGAGGCAGCCAGATAATCCCTTTCTGACTTTTCAGGGATGACCAGCTGGTATGATTCCTCATCTTTTGTTTCCAGGGAACCAGGATGGGAAATCTCCCTTTCCCCCTCCAAAGGAAATATCTTCAGATAGTACCAGTGCCTTCTAAAGCATCTCTCAGCTCTAGACTGAGTTAGAAGCCAGCTCAGTCATTAGCAGAAAGATAAACTTTCAGTGTTTAGGATCCCAGTGTTTCTGAATTGCACTGGGCAGGAAACCTGATGTTCTGCAGAGGTTTCCTATGGATTGTAAGAACCAAAGCTTTACTTTGATGCTCTCCCTGAAGATAAAATATTAGGAGTAGGTCACCCAGCCAGGCCAGAAGAGTGAGAAGCGTGAGAGAGTTAAGTGAATTCTGAAGTTGTTGGAGGGTGTGGAGTGGACATGACAAACCTGTGTTGTGAGGAGGTGGTCCATTTGGAATTGAACAGGGCCAGGCTTGGTTTTGGGAGAAAGTTTTGCAAGACTCAGTAGCTTTGTGCACTTTTAACCTGACACAAGGTGAAACCTAGTCGTTTCAGTTGAGTTGTGAATTCCAACATGAAATCCAGAGACCAATTCCCTTTCTCCAAGCCCCTCTCCCTCCACTGGAACAAGAGTTTTAGGGTATGTGTCAGTAAGAATCCCACTGCAAGCACACATGCATGTAGAAATTGGTATCTTTTGAATAGCAGTGTCTGTCCAGGTCTCATATGTGCCCTGTGCCTCCTTGCTCTTCCATGAGAGGGCTTAATGGGCAGAGCAGCCACGACCATCCCTCAGTTCCATGTTACTGCGCAAGGCAGCAAGACAGAACCTAGTGAATGTCCAACCCACTACTCTCTTGTGAGCTTCAAAACCTGTATTTTTCACAGAAAACTGTGAAGAACTTCATATTCTCAACCCTTTCCAACTGGACATTTATAAGAAAGAAAGAAAAAAGAAAACTCATCAGCAAGCCCTTTGACAACAGGATGAGGCACTTCTCACCAACCACCATGTCTCATGGCAGACTCTAAGTCTATGTCTACACAACAAGCTAGGGTTGTGGTTCCTCTCATCAAACTGGCATGAGTATAAATATAGCAGTGTAGCTGTGGTACCACAGGTGGCAGCAGAGGAGGCAGGGCTGAGCTGTGTCAAGTACATACCCACCAGTTTCCTGTGGGTTTGTATTCCATACAGCTCAGCTGGGCCTCCACTACCACTACCCGTGCTACCGTAGTTATGCTTCTGTTTATACTCAAGCTAGATCAGTGAGAGCTAGCATGAGTATATGAACACAAGCAAGGAAAACATACCCCTGGCTTGCAGTGTAGACATAGCCTAAGCTGGCAAGGTTCGATCCCTACCCATCCTGTGACAGCCTCATTCATCTCAGAGATAGACATAGGTAATGCTTTTTCTGCTTGGGAGAGAGCCACCTCCCAGACAAATCTCCTCAAGGACTCAAAGTCCAGGGATTCTCAGCTCAAGTTATACCCGTTCTGACTCTGAGGAAACACTAACAGCCAGAATGAAGAAAAAAAATCATCATTGACCAGTTGTCCTTCAGGAAGACCCCACACCCCAGAGTCCAGGAAGAAGAAAGTACCAACAACATCGGCATCAATAACCTCAGCACTGACAACTTCAACCCCAACAATCTTGGCAGCAGCATCCTTGGCACAGACCCCAACAGGTCCAGCAGCTGCACCCCTGACAGTGTCGGGTGACTCTGAGAGGCAAGGCCAGATGAAGCATAAACATGGCTCCAAGCACCACACAGGACTACGCAACAGGGATTTAAATGCCACTCCTACAAAGACAAAGGCTCGATCTCTTATGAGTCAGAAGAGGGAAGCCAACCATGCAGGAAAAAAGATCTGGTACTTACCTCACTACTGAGCCTGTCAACAGTTTGAGCTGTACCTCAACAGAGGAACCAGGGTCATCTATCATACCAGAACAGCAGCTAGTACCAGCACCACCTGGCAATGGGACCACGCCCCTCTATGGCCATACCAGTTGAGGAAACTTACTGTTCCTCCCACTCCCTAATCTACTTGTTCTTGTTGGTGTCAAGTAAAGATCCCTCTATGCTATCATTGGAGAGTGACCTCAAGGAGGCTTCCGGAAGCCATCCATTCTGGGACCCATCTTAGGCAAAATGTGAATGGCACTGGGCCAGCCAACCTCAACTGGGCAAATACACTTATAGCATGCCACTTCAGTCATACTGGCCATATTGGGGACCAGCATAATATATGTTCCAGAACAGATCCTCCCCACCTTTGCATACATCAAGAAGTGGGGGACATCCCACTTCCCAGCATCAATAGCCAGGCCACTCACACCAGAGCCAGATGTCAGCATCTAGAAGCAGGTGGCAGTGGAGGGACAGCATTAATCTTTGTCTGCATCTCAGGAATCATGATCATCACCAAATGAAGTCATGGCTCCAACACTGACAGCAACCTTAAGGCTTTCCATGCCTTCCTGTTGCAGATTGTGAAGACTCAGGCCACTGAAACCAAGGTGATCCAAGAAAGATCTCACAAGCTCTTTAGTGTACTGATCGCCACAACCCCAACCTGATTTGCCCTCTCAGTAAAGTAGAGCACACTCAAGCTGGCAAAAGGGCTGTGGCAGATCCTCACCACTCAGCCCTCACGTGTCACCATACAGGACATGCCCTTTGAAGGATGGAGTTCTTTAGTAGCAGAACTCGTGGAACATTCCATTCGCTAAAAGACTTGTAGGCCACTCTGCAACCTTGGTATCTATAGAAGTTACATATGCTATGTGTTTTCAGAGGCTTACATCAACAGAACCCCACTGCACCCAGCCCAAAACATTCCTCTGTGCTCCCCAGTTCAGGGACCACTGCACTATGCAGTGGACTTACCACCAGGGTAGATGCCAAGTTCAGGAGGATGGTACTACAATATCTGTTTGACTAATGCAGCTGAAACTCCTCACCCATCATCCAGAGGGGACACTACTTGCCAGTCACCTACAATAGGATCCACACTGACATATACTTGAAGAAGAAAGAACTATTACTTACCCTACAGTAACAGTAGTTATCCAAGATGATATCTTGCATGAATCCCTTGACCCACCTCCATCCCCACTCTCTGAATCCTCAGCTGTCACAGGAATTGTGAGGGACCTGAGGAAGGGTTGCATCACTCCATTCTTTATGCCCTCGCATATGAGCGTCAGGATGCATACGTTGCACGTATGGCCACAACAGACCCTGCTGTTCAAAAGAATTTGATCTTGGGTGTTCGAGGCACCTGCAGATCTTTAGTGGGATTCACACAGACTGCAAGATCTTGTAGAAACACAGTTAATGCAGGGTAAAAAACCATTCTTATTCCACAGTGACAATGTTGAGATTTGTTGCCTCTTTAACTTGGTGTAAAATTTGAGCACAGAGTCTTTGATGACCAGCACATTAGGAATTTATATTGGAAACAGTGTTTTTTCTTTTATGATTATAGTCAGTGTAGGCATTGTATACTATGTTTTGTAAAAATGAGTACTACTTGTCCCGTAAGTCTGCTAAACACTGAATGCAAAATAATTCATTTCAGCTAATTATTTTAAAGAAAATTGGAAAAAAATGCTCAGCACTGCTTTCTATTTTGGCTGCAGGTACATTCACTTTCTTTTTCAGTTGTTGCCAAATAGTGCAAAATATCAAATTTCTCTTTCACATAATAAATTATATCCTAATAACGACGCACCATTGTTTAGAACAGAGTGGGAAGTGGTAGGTCCACTTTAGGTCTTCATCATTCAATGATCCTTTTCCCTATATCTCTTTGGATTATTTTTATGTCAATATTTTTAGGGATGAAATTGGAATAATGTCTTGTGATGACATCAGCAAATATGGAAAGTCTGGAATGAAAGGCTCCGAGTCACCTAGCTACTTTCTGGAGCATGAAAGTGGAAAGTATTACACATTAATTGAAGATGAGGGCCATCCAATGAGCTCTGAGTATGAGAGAGGCAGAACCACAGGAGTTCGGAGAAGAGAAAAGACACCCACTCATGGTATGTTTGATTGCTTTGGTCTTCAGAAGTTGACTGGATTAACAAATTGTATCACTATATTATTTACCAACTCACAGTCACTCTATAACCTGTTTGGGACCATAAGGTGATAGAAATATGCTTTTGCTTTGAATAGTGACTGGATGTTAGTATTATTAAATGTTCAGGATCAAGGTGCAAGATTTTTTTAATACATTATCTACTTCAAACCCACAAGATTGTGTGTGAAAATTATTTTTAAAAATTGTAATGGATGGGGTGATAGATGCCGCTTTCACTTATTAGTCTCTACCTACAGTCTCTTGGAGCGATTCTTACCTGCAACTTGCAGAAATACTAAAATATTATGGAACTGCCTGAAAAGGCATTGGTAGAAGATGAAAGCATCTGCAAAATGAAATGTCATCCCTAATTTAACCTTGTATTAAAGTGTATAATCACTTAGTACCTTGAAAGGTATGGTGAGGATTAATTAGTTAATGCTTACAATGCAATTTGAGATCCTAGGATGGTTAGTGCTAAATATGAATGCAAGATAGTGTAACAATAATAAACTCTGTTTTTATGTAGAAATCAAATATTGTACATAATACAGTGTAAAAGAGTTGCTGAGCTATAAATATATTTGTATCTATTAAAGATGAACATTGATGATCAGTGAACTTTAGAATAACATTACTGAAACATACTGGAAGCCAATTTACTCTTGTATTTGTGGTATTTTTCTTTTCAGTGCAGTAGAGATTATTTTGTTGTGAGGGTCACACACCTTTAAGATGGTATGTGCTGAGCATATTTATAAATAGATATATATTTATATGTAACTTGTAATACATTATATTGATTTTTATTTTTGTTTGGTTAAGAGAGTAACAACATTTCCCTGTCATTGTCACCAGTGAAAAGAATTACCCTCTCTGTCAGATAGGGCACTCCCTAAGAGACTGGTTCTGTCCTTTGATACATGCATACACCTTCCACTGAAGTCAGTCAGCGGCCCAAAAGCATGTTTGGGGCTCAATTTGATCCTTAGTCTTTTGTTTCACTTGGAATAATTCTAAATAATTGCATCGATTACTGTCAGGAATTAATCACAAGTATAAGGTTTGTCCCTTCGGCTTCAACTTTCTGACCTCTACTTCCCAACATACATTTGAATTATTCTTGAAAGAAATGATGGTAAATACTGTAAGAAATGGCTTCTGGCAGACTCATTAAAAGCAGAATTGGAGTCTGTGCAACGTACTTGCATTCCTCTGGGAAACTGCAAAAACACAGGAACCTTCCGCTAATGATTTTTTTAGGTGACATATATAACTTTGTAAACATAAGCATATGCTATTCTTTACCTGATGACAATTTTGCTGCAGGAGAACTAACTTTAATAGTAAATAAGGTGTACTCTGTGCATCTTGGAGAGGTTCTCTTCTGTGTTGTTTCTCTCCTACTGTACTTATCTTATACTACTTTAGTTTGTGCAGTCCCCATGTAAAGCACTAGGAGAAACTAACAGCAAAGTACTCAATTTTAAATGAAATTCCAGAAAGATGCAGTTCTGGGACTTAATGCTGCCACCTCTTCTTCTCCATAGAAAGCATGGAGATAATCCCAAAGTTAATAAAAGAGAAGAGTGGATCCAATATGGCCTGTTTTCCCTAAACTCCTAGCATTCCTGCATATTTGGGGCTTGGTTGGCTGTTGGGAGGACACAGAGCCTGGATGCAGTCACTCTATGTGACTTACTCCCATAGGAAAAAACATTAGAATTGCCACGAATTTGCTTTTGGAAATTAAGGATGCTCATTGGTGAATCCGGTTGATATGTGGCATTTATTTGTAATATATGGACAAAGGACTAATAAGAATATCACCACATAATTGGCTACACTGCAGAAGCAGGATTGTTGCTACAAAGTCAGTGGATACCACAAGCCCTCTATGCTTAATTATAAGAACTGGTTTCTATGCAAGCCTGAGTAACTGCACAACTGGTATTTCTAAAAATCCTTAAAATGGGACTGGCATATCTCCAAATATGTACACGATCTCTTTAGAGACAGGACTAGGCAGCACAGAATTTACTAGGCTGTTGAGGGCAACCTTGAGAAATTTCTCTTCCTGGACTTTCTCAAAGAGAGCAAATCTGGAAAGTCCTTAAATCCAAGATGTTTGGAGGAGAAACTTAAACCTATAGTATACTACTTTTTAAAAAAAACATTGTTTCATGTTCTCATTTTTCCTTCCTTCAGAAGTATTTCCATGCCAAGTTAGGCTTCTAGGATAATAGGAAAATATTGATCAAAATGCATCTCCTTGTCTGTCTCACTCTTAATCTTTGGAAGGTGTCTTCACTTGGTTCCTCGAGAAATTTCAGAAAATATCTTAGTACTACTCTAGTTTAAACTAGAGATAGGCCATAGTGGCAGAAGTCCAGATGGAGATTTCAAACAACTTTAAATTTGGAGATAATTGGACCTGAGGTTTTGGTTTGGCTCATTATAAAGATAGGGTTCATTTGCAAAATTTAGTTTTGTATAAGAAATACCGCCCAAAGATTAGGGAACTTGATCTAGGTTTGTAATATTTCGTGAAGTAAATTTACAAGCATGTGAGAAAAGCTTGTTTCATTTGGTGTATTGTTGTAATGTGAGTGAAAAGTTGTTGCAGAATTCAGATATGTTCTGATAAAGATTTAAGCATCACATCCAACTTCTCAGTGAAATAAGTTCTATGGTCACAATTTCTGCATAACTAAATATGTATATGCTATATTTTTTCTAGACTACACAAGTTTAAAAATGAGTGAGGGGGATTTTGTAAAGTGCTTTGAGACACTCTGATAGAAGGCAACAGTTAGAGACGAAAAGAATATTATTATTAGGTGCCTCTCTCTGTTTATGTTGAATTCATACCAGCAACAATTTGTAGGCATGATTTTCTCTTACCAAGGGTATATTTTGCTTCTGAAGAGCATGATACAGTCATGTTATAACTCCATTGTATACTATACCTAAAGAAGCAGGTTTAGGTCCTTAGCTGCATCAGTGGTCTTCTCAGTGGAACTGCACAGAGAAGAAGGCAAGCCATCTTTGTATTCCCCAATGATTCCTGGAACTACAAATGTCAGATTGAGGGATGCTATAAATTATGCCACACTTCATGGATGATCCTCAAAGGGATTTCAACAGTTGGGACTTGCTGAAGTATATGATGTCATTACCACACCCCTCCCCAGAAATGTTCCCAGTATTCCCCCTACATCAGGACTGGGAGTGGGGAAGACACAGAGCCTGCTAATCTCTGCTATCCTGAGATTCCCCAGGCAAGGGGCATTCAGGTTTCCAAATGCTTTGCATTGCTTTCGTTTCAAGAAAAGTCCTCAGAAAAAATTCCAGTCCATGCTAATCAAGTCAACAGTACTAGGGCTTGCCAGCAACAATGGTATTTAAATATGGTGATAGGTAGCACAGTTTCAACCATAGTATGGACAGGACCTTAGTTAAATATCATTCTGTTTCCTGATAAGATTGAAGAAACCTTAGTAGATCATTTGTCTCTGTAGCATATTTCCAGTATACTGTAAAATCAGACACTATAACCTGCACAATGCTCGAAAGAGTAGTCGCCAGATTAACACTGAAGAGTAAGACTCCATCTTAATACTGTTATCGTTCAGTTTTTATCATCTCCCTGAGCAAGTAAATCCCACAGGCTTTTACCTTACTATAGAATCAAAGAGAAATTTGAATTGTGTTTGAAATGTGAGCCAGTAATATGAATTTGGCTTCCTTTCATAAACTCATACTGTTCAATGACTTGTAGTTAAAACATCAGGCGCGGTGTGTGTGTGTGTGTGTGTGTGTGTGTGTGTGCCTGATTCCAGTACCATTTAAACTTTCTTCTTATGCTCTTGATGGGACCATTGTGTCTGCTTTCCACAGCTTTGAGAAATTGTTTGAAAACTTAGAATGAAAATTTTAAAAATAAAATAAATAAGGCAGCAGCACAGGAAAAGGCCTTGCAAAGTAAAGAGAAAGTGAAAACAAACATAAAGTTTGTATTTACCTCTGGCGCTTGTAGGAGAAACTAGTAAAGCAAGAAGTTTTAAACAAGTGTTGTTAAAAGAAAGCTAAGCTTTCTAACCCTGAGAAGAACTTTTTAGTTTTATTTTTATAGTGTGTTTTAAATCTCTTGTTTTAAAGAGCCACTTTTGCAAGCCTCAGGAGTTATGATAAATGATTGTGTTTATGCTGCAAGCTGTGGTTTATCTTTGGTGCAATATCTAGAAGCTTGGGACTGTTGCGGGAGCTGAATACCCAGGGTAAAGAGGAAAAATATTATTTTAAAAATTACGTATATTTTAAATCACTTTCCTAGTCGAATAGTCTGTTCTCAGTGTTTGTGGGGTTCATACAAACTGCAGTTCAGAAATTCCTACAGGGGATTTGCCAAAATACAAATGATGGTCATAATCTAGTGCCTATCACAGCTGGTAGATTTAATGAATCCGCCATAAATCCTTGCAGATGAGACTTCCTTGATGTTTGTAGCAAATGCAAAAGCCAAGCAAGAAAGTAGAAAATCACGTCCCTTTAATTTCTCCTTTTCAAAACTGTGAAAATATAGCTTAGTACCATGATGAGACTTTATCCCAGTTACAGTATATTTGCCATTTTCTTTTTCTAAGACTTATGGATCATAGTTCTGAACTCACATGCTGGCAGATAATCTCGTCTCTACTTTTGACTGTGTACTAAAAACACACATACGTAGTGAAGCACAGTTGGTTTTCTTGGTATTAAATTATTATTTTACAATATCTATTTTATTTGGGTTCAGTAATTTTCCAGTTCAGTAATTTTTCATGATGACAAATGGAGTTGTAGCATTCCTAGATGTTGTTCCTAGATGTAATGGGTGAACATGAAGAGGGAGCTCAGAGTGTGTGTAAGGGTGTATAGTAGAGAAAAGGAATGTGTAAATATTGCATCCCAAAATAA